AAGGAGGTCAATCTGATTTTCTTGAAATTTCTGCAAGTTTTGTGTTGACCTATTTCGACAAGTTTGTTGCGCGGACTGGATAGAAAATTTAGCGGGTGCCCATTGCATTCCAATGTATACGAGTTTTTACCAACTTTATTTCTAAAATAAAACAAATATCATAGTTAAAACGTGGTGGAAACGGCCTTATCTATTTATCACTGTCTCATGGTATACAAATTATTATGCATCTAGATATCACACATAATAATTAATCTTCTATTACTTAAACAATTCATAGAAGAATAAGAAAAAATCTAAGTCCCAAATATGGCTAATAATAATAACTTGGTTACCCATAATGTGATGTCTTTTTGTAACATATTTAAGAAAATCTCATGCTTGAGTGAACCCGTGATAAACGTATTGCTCCATATGGGGGCACGGGTTTACGTTTACAAGTATTAAGGATACTAGTTTATATATACAGGAATAAAAAAGAAAGTTAATAAATAACACGGGGCGGGGGGCAAAGGGATATATACAATATGGAGTCTTTTTGACATTATGGGTAATCTGTAGCCAGCACCTCCCAATTTTAAAAATAACCATGAGACTGTATGGTAAAGATAGTCTAGTGCACAGCCTATTTAAGAAATTATTTAATTAAAAATAATATGACAATAAAATTACAAAATAAATAAATAAATAAACTTCTTTATAGCACCGTTTCACGGCCACTTATTAGGGCCACTTTTAAAATAAACACTTAAAATAAGTTTTGTACACTTTATACAATGGCTGTGCACTGACTCAAAAATTAAAAAAATAAAACTATATTGTCGAAAACCTTACATACTCGTACAGTATTCTATACTGTAGTATATAACTTAGGCAACTACCCCTCGCGTAATGTTAATAGCGAGCTCGACGAGCTGGCCCGAAGGGCCTGCTCGCAAAGCGAGCTTTACGGTAACGCGAGTACTTGCTAAGTGATGGTTTTGAAAACTTTCGTTCGAAGTACCGAATTGGACACATCGCAACCTATCGAATTTAAAGATAACGATAAAAACTGAGGAATTCTGACTGAAAACGGATGTGTAGACTGGTCACCCGCGCACGTCTATGGGAACCATAATTGGACAGGAAACCAGAATAACGGAAGCTGTCGATAAAATATCGAACGAAAATGTAAAATAAAAATTGAAGGCGCCATTTTGTTTGAAAAATCTGATAAATTAAAACAATTTTTTGTCGAATTTTGTTGTGAAAACTATCTAGAATGAAAGAAAATAGTCTAACTAAGAAAATGAATCCGAACACCAATATCTTTTATTCGGTCGTTAACTCTGTACAGACGTTTAAAGTATTGTTTACGTGACGTCACAATGTAGCGCCAAACAGCACGTGCAAAACAAACAAATCAAGTACGCTATTTTAATGTCGCAAACGTTTTAAGTTTTACATTTATTTCACTTTTAATAATCTTTATTTCGCTTGAAAAATTATAGAGTGAAATAAAATAAACAAAGTTTTATCAACGTTTTCAAAACTCGTTATTCATTTAACGACAGGGGCGTAGCCATATTTAACACAGTACGTGTAACCTCACACGCACTCGTCAATGCATTTGAAATAAAATGCGCGATTATTGAATACTATTTCACGTTAAAAGTACATCGAGCTCGCTTTGAGGCTTTGCCTTTTTCATATTAGCGAGCTCGACGAGCTGGCCCGAAGGGCCTGCTCGCAAAGCGAGCTTTACGGTAACGCGAGTACCTGCTAAGTGATGGTTTTGAAAACTTTCGTCCAAAGTACCGAATTGGACACATCGCAACCTTTCGAATTTAAAGATAACGATAAAAAAAGAGGAATTCTGGCTGAAAACGGATGTGCATGTAGACTGGTCACCCGCGCACGTCTATGGGAACCATAATTGGACAGGGAACCAGAATAACGGAAGCTGTGTATAAAAAATGAAAATCGAAGGCGCCATTTTGTTTGAAATCTGATAAATAAAAACAATTTTTTTGTCGACTTTTGTTGTGAAAACTATCTAGAATGAAAGAAAATGGTCTAACTAAGAAAATGAATTCGAACACCAATATCTTTTATTCAGTTGTTAACGCTGTACAGACGTTTAAAGTATTGTTTACGTGACGTCACAATGTAGCGCCAAACAACGCGTGCAAAACAAACAAATCAAGTACGCTATTTTAATGTCGCAAACGTTTTAAGTTTTACATTTATTTCACTTTAAATAATCTTTATTTCGCTTGAAAAATTATAGAGTGAAATAAAATAAACATAGTTTTATAAACGTTTTCAAAACTCGTTATTCATTTCACGACAGGGGCGGAGCCATATTTAACACAGTACGTGTGACGTCACACGCACTCGTCACTGCATTTGAAATAAAAATGAGCGATTATTTCATACTATTTCACGTAAAAAGTACATCGAGCTCGCTTTGAGGCTTTGCCTTTTTCATATTATGTTCGCGTCTTAACCTAATAAATAATCAAAGGGCTGCAAACTCTGTGGTATTTTCTGATCTTTGCAATCTAAATCGTACTGTATATCTGTATGTGTTTTCCTGTATAAGGGGGCAGGGGACATATTCGAATGATGGCCCCGGTCAAATTTTTTAATAACTCAGACATGGTGTTTTGAAGGTACTGATAACTTCTGATATTTCTCTGTCATTGTAATTCTTTCTTGTTTGTGTGTAGGAAATGAGATATATTTTTAGGTTTTTACCCGAAACTAAGCATTTTGGTAGCTTTGTATGTATTTCTGACTCTCCGAATGGAGGACAAAAAAAGTTAAAAATCAAGCTTTGACAGTTGGCGCCAAACAAGTAAGAAACTTCAGATAAATTTTGTGAAAAATCTAAACGTATGACAGACACTTTATTTGTCATTTCTGAAAATGCCATAGCTTGCACTGCGTGTTACTGATATTTTTAAAGGAATCGGGCGGATTCTGGAGTATGCTGCACCTTCATGTACATTGCCTATATTGGTATATTTTAGGTGTGATTTTGGCTGGGTGGGGGTAAATATAAATTGCTGTCAGTCATTTTTTGAAGGAGCAATGCATGCAAACTATTATTTTCTTCAATGTATGTCATATATCATTGAATAATGCTGTGCAACTGGTTATCTGCCTGTGAAACAGATTTTGAAATATTTGGAATTGTGTTTCTGGTCACACTGAAATACAAAATTTTTCATTTTTAGGTCCCCTGCCCCCTAAGTTTATTTTTATGTACTATAATTCATCTTGCAGGGCACAAGAATTTGATACAAACAGAATTTTGCAGAACTATAGTTGCATCAAAAAATCATTTATGTTCATTTTTAGCTCGTATTTTTTTTTTTTTTTTTGAAAAAAAAAGTAGATTTTTTTTTTTTTTGAAAAAAAAAGTAGAGGTATTGTTATAGTCAGGTCGGCGTTGCCGTTGCCTTCCGAAAACTTGTACCTGGATCATAACTTTTTTATTTCTTGGTGTATTGTCTTCATACTTGGCCACAACAACCTTTGGGACAAGACCTTTCAGTAGACCACACTAACCTTGACCTTCATCCATAAATGACCTTGACCTTCAAGGTTAAAAGTCCAATTTTTGCTTGTTCATGCTGTTATTGGCTGTAACTTTGTAATTTTTGAATGGATTGTCTTCAAACTTGAACATAATAATCTTCAAGGATATCCCTTAAAAATAACCAGTCAGACCTTGACCTTCACTCATCAATGACCTTGACTTTGAAGGTCAAATTATTGAAATTTTCATTTTTTTTGGCTATTATTGGCTGTAACTTTGTTATTTTTGAATGGATTGTCTTCAAACTTGAACATAATAATCTTCAAAGATAACTGTTAAAAATATACCGAAAGACCTTGACCTTCACTCATTAATGACATTGTCTTTGAAGGTCAAATTATTGAAATTTTCATTGTTTTGGCGGTAACTGACTGTAACTTTGCTATTTTTGAAGGGATAAACTTCATATATAACAGAACATTCTTAAGGACCAGAATAACAATATCTTGTAACATATTAATCTTCATTTTTTTGCCATCATAAATTTATAGCATAAAAACAATAACAATATCTTGTAACATATTAATCTTCATTTTTTTGCCATCATAAATTTATAGCATAAAAACAATAACAATATCATGAAACATATTAATCTTCATATTTTCCATCATAAATTTATAGCATAAAAACAATAACAATATCTTGTAACATATTAATCTTCATTTTTGTGCCCCCACTTTAGTGGAAGGCATTTAGATTTACCCTTGTCCGTACGTCCTTCCGTCCGCCCTTCCGTCCGGCCGTCCGTTCTTTTTTGTGTCGCACATAACTCAAAAGTATTTGACCTAGAGTCATGACACTTTACAGGAATGTTGATCAGCATGTGTTGTTGTGCACCTGGGTATTTGCGTCTGGATATTTTTAGTATTTTTAGAGTCATTGCCCTTGACTTAGTAAAATTTGCAATTATCAACTTGTGTCGCATGTAACTCAAAAAGTATTTGACCTACAGTCATGAAACTTTACAGGAATATTGATCAGCATGTGTAGTTGTGCACCTGGGTATTTTCGTCTGGATATTTTAAGTATTTTCAGAGTTATTGCCCTTGACTTAGTAAAATTTTGCAATTTTCAACTTGTGTCGCATGTAACTCAAAAAGTATTTGACCTAGAGTCATTAAACTTTACAGGAATGTTGATCAGCATGTGTAGTTGTGCACCTGGGTATTTTCGTTTTGGAAATTTTTATTATTTTCAGAGTAATTGCCCTTGATTTAGTAAAATTTTGCAATTTTCAACTTGTGTCGCATGTAACTCAAAAAGTATTTGACCTAGAGTCATGAAACTTTACAGGAATGTTGATCAGCATGTGTAGTTGTGCACCTGGGAATTTTTGTCTGGATATTTTTAGTATTTTCAGAGTTATTGCCCTTGACTTAGTAAAATTTGGCAATTTTCAACATGTGTCCGCAGGTAACTCAAAAAGTATTTGACCTAGAGTCATGTAACTTTACAGGAATATTGATTAGCATGTGCAGTTGTGCACAAGGTATTTTCATCTGGATTTATTTAGTATTTTTAGAGTAATTGCCCTTCACTTAGAAAATTTTTGCAATTTTCAACTTGTGTCGCAAGTTTCTCAAAAAGGATTTGACATAGTCATTAAACCTTATAGGCAGGTTGCTCAGCATATTTTAGATTTGCACCTGGGGTTTTGCTTGTGGATTTATCCAGTATTTGTAGAGTTATTTCCCTTGACTTAGTAAAAAGATTGACAGAACAGTGGCGCGGTGGGGGCACCCGTGTCCTATGGACACATTTCTAGTTTCCATCATAAATGTATAGCATAAAACAACAACAATAAACAAGAAAGAATTTGGTGAATACAAACAAATAATAGAATAATGTTCAAGTGCTTGGCTGGCTATCAAGATTTTAATCAGTTTGTATTCATGGCATTTGAAATTTCTATATACCATATTAAACAGGAACATACTTTATTCGAGATTTGGTTTACATATTAAAGCTTGTTGTCATAGAAAGGACTGATTGTGAAATATTTGTCTTAGTTTATACAGTTGTTGAAATTTATTATTTCAATTAAAGATCAACCCTGGATCAGTTAAGGAGGAGAGGTACAACAAAGCTCATAGCCAGACAAGAATGGTGGTGGAAAGAGCATTTGGAATGTTGAAGTCAAGATTTAGGTATTTTGCCATGCATGCACTTGAATGTATGATACTAAGTTTTATAACATGTTACATAATTGGATTACACCAATTTTGAAAGACTCAACTATGTTTATTATTTACCATTTTACATAGAAATAAACTTTAATACTGCATGTATGTAAAGTTGTTTTCCATCGGATGATTTGATACAAATCATATAAAGACTTCTGTAAGTTTACAAAGTAATTTTCAATTTCAATAAAATAAAGGTTATTTGCTGTTTTATTATTTATTTGCACCAACAGTTTCTGTTATACATATGTACATACATGCTACTGTTTTTATAGGGACCATATAAATGGAAACCCTTCAAAATTTGTACCACAATATATTATGAACGTAAAGGAATTATAAATTTATCATTTATCAGTGATCTTCTGAAACTCATTCATTAAGATCAGTCCGACTCATTTTTTACAATTCATTATGATTCTTAATTTTTTTCAGGTGTTTACACAAAACAGGAGGTTGTCTGCCATTCACACCAGAGAAGTCTGCCAGAATTGTCAGTGTCTGCTGTAAGCTTCACAATGTTTGTTTGGAAAGAAACATTCCTTTAATAGGAGATATATTGATTGATGACACTTTGAATAATGATGATGTAGTTACAATATATCAGAGTATTCAAACTGGAATTAATGCCAGGGCTACCCTAATTGATCTTTTTTAAGTTTTAGCCTGACCTTCTTTTTTTTGAAAAAAAAATTATAGGTATTATTACAGTCATGTTGGCGTTTCTGCTGCTGTCCACAAACTTTAACATTGATCATAACTTTATTTATGTAATATAAATATAAATGGTGGTTGTTTTGTCTGCTCTGTAACTTCCAAATACATGAAAGTTTCAATTTTTATTTAAAAATTTAAAGTCACCATAGATGGACAATGTGTTTTGAACAAGACCCAGGTTTCTTTGTCTAACTTCAAGTTCACTGCTGGGGTTCGACCTTTGTCAATTTTTACCACCACACTTACCATGTAATTAATGGTTAATGATGTAATATATAGAGGATATTGAATGAGTGTAAGTTCAATACTGAATTTATTGCACGAGTTGAATAAAATTTTATTATGCGAGACTCTGGCAAGCTTCAACAAGTGCAATAATTTCAGTGATGAACATTACACAAATTAAATATTCTATTTATCACATACCCAAATTTAATTAACAAAATGTAGCTATTTCTTTTTGTTATAAAATTAATTTAATTCAGCTTTCTCAGGAAATACTTATTTTCATACCACTCGATGAAAATAAATCAAGTATTTATAGAAAAACTTGAATATCCTCTATATATTTAACAATCGTGTAAGTTATTCTTAACATTTTACAAATTAAATTGATATATATAAATAATAAGAGAGTTACTAATTGGGTAACAAGTTACCTACATGTGTAAGACTTCATGTAACCAATTTCAAATAATGAATTCTAACATGACCTGAATGTTTCCTATTGAACAAGAAAGCACCGAAAGTGTTTGTAAAAATGCAATTACTTCATTTAGACTACCATACTAGTTATAAAAACTTTGACAGGTTATATGGCCCTATATAAATGGTTGTTTGAAAATATAACATGAGCCGCTAGGCGAGGGTTATATTTACAAACAAGCGTTCATATACAGCCATATAACCGGTCAGAAATATTTATAATAAATTTATAATACAGCAAGCATCATTTTTAGAGGAATAAACTGAGATTTTTTTTATAAATCGACAGCAGCCGTGTATAAACTATATAAACGTCACGATTATCCAATGAAAAGCGACATTACAAACATGCAGTATTATAAATGTATGTAATCACTAAATGTGACACGCGGGAAGAAGTAAAGAAACAAACATTTAGCTTGATTTAAGGTATAGCACCATGTTTAAGTTAATGTCATGTTAGAATCAAAATAATATATCCCAATCAGTGATTTTATGGCTTTATAAAATCACTGTTTGATGTCCGGATGTGCAGCATGTTATCACAAGAGCTGTGCCTTCTTTATATAATCTCTGGCATCCGAAATCAAATCAATAATTTTAATTTAGCTGTAAAATCACTGCTTGGAATATATCATTTCTTTAGTTCACTATATTTATTTAATTTCCACTGTCCTTCCTAAGTATATGATTTTATGACTGCATTTTGTATTTGGAAAATGTATACTTTGATATTTAAAGTTCAAGGAGATTATCAATAGTACTTTTGTATGCAATGATGTCAGTAAGTCGCTTCAATTCCTTAGAAATTGCCCCCAGATTTTCATTTTGCTGCTTTTGCGTGTTGAGAATTTCTTCAAGAAATTTGCACTTCTTCCTTTCAATATCAAGAAGTTCTTGATATTTATCTGTAATTGAAATAACATATTGTAATAATTGTATCATAGTTATCAATCTCAGCAAAGGCTTGCTTTGTAGCCATTTCTTGAACCTGTTAATTAAATTTTACATTTTATCCAGCTACTATCTATATTATCATCTGGAAGCCTTGCCGGATAAACTTATCTTAATTGCAGTCATTACGTCATAATTATGATGACCTCACATGGTAAAAAGAAAAACAAGACAAAACTACATCAGGGAAATGTAAGATTGAAACTTTTTACTAGTAAATTGTCTAAAAACATGATCAAAAGCAGGATAACTCAAATACATGCTCGGTGTCGGCCTAAAGCTCGCCAAGATACACTTTCTCGCTCACCGGATAAACCTTCTCTATCAAAACATTAACAATGTATTCTTTATATATGGTTATTCATATGAGATTCTATGTATTTCATATGGTTTGAAACCAGTTGCTTTGTATGTCAGAGATATTTCCAATTTTACTTTCTACTATATCCAGTTCCTTGATTCTCTGATTGTGACATTGTACTTAGGATGCCATATGGAATTTCTTTAAAATTTAAGAAACATACATGGCACTTTTTGAAATTCCTTAAGTCATTTCTTTAATAAACCGGACATATATTCACAATAATACAATTTGCAAGATTTATTTCAAAATACGGCATTATTTCCATGAAAGTTTCCATTATACTTGATGTGTTTTACCTGTTAATGAACAGCTGGAAATAATTTGTAATACATTTACCTATTGGTTCACTCACTGTCCTTTTTCTTTTTTCCTGGAAGTAAATTTTGAATGTTGTGAAAATTCAGAATTGAATTTATTTAATTTCTTCAAATGAATTATATAATACCATTTCTGCCTATTGTGAACATATTATTTTGTTATTCAATTTTTTCAATAAATTTAGTAAGAAAATCACACAAAAATAATTAAATAGTAATAATTTTATCACATACCAGTACATTATGTAAGTATTGTTTGTAAAAAAAGTTTATTTTGTAATTTCCATACCTACAAGCTTATTCTGTAATGTTTTCAAATATTTAGTGTCATTTGAAATGACAAGTCATATAATCTTACACTGAAAGTTATACACAGAAGTGTAGTATCAATTTTGCTGACTTGCAAAAACTGTGCTGGTATATGATAAGAAAATCATTTATTTATATTTCTTCATAATAAGGTAAGTATTTCCTCAACATTTGATTAACCCTTTACCTGCTGAATTATTGCGATGGACATCCAACCTTAAATTTCAGTACTTTCCATTCTCCATTTGTGGATATGAAAATTGAAAGACAGCCTGGCAAATGTATAGAGCCTGGCCAGATTTGACAGCTGTGTATTTGACTTGGCTCTGCGTGGCAACATTGCAGCAGGTGAAAGGTTAATAAAATGGTTTGATATTCATTGTCATATACATTTGTAATATGATATCAAGCAATTCAGTATTGAAATATGTGCAATAAAATTTGAAATGTCCTTGAAAAGTGTCAGACTTTTATTGATTCATAATTAGCAATCTGTAAATACTTTATTATGTTACACTAAAAAGGTTCATTAAGTGTCTGCAATTGCTTATAACTAAGTTTTGTGAAAAGAGACTTAAAAGAGTGAATGATGTGAAATTAGCAGTACAGATAATATTGTCTAGTTTTCATACAGGGGACACAGACATTTTACTCCACATGAATATTATGATACATGTTCATAGAAAATATTATGATTGAACATAGGGAAACATATAATTAGACTTACAGAGTTACTTGTATTAACAAGGGTAGCAGATGGTGCTGATTCTGCCAAATTACCACTACTTGAAGCATGCGCATCTCCATCATTTGTACAAGAAGCTTCTTGCACATTGCTCATGTTGCTGGTAGAAGAAGACACTAAAGACAAATAAATTTTATTTGTGAAAATAAACAAAATTAAATGCATATTTTCCTTTTCTGTGAAAATTAGTTATATACTGAATGTCAAACAAAACTCATTTCTGTTTCAAAGTTAATGGTGTCTGATGAATTAACATTTTTATGCTATAGTTTTACCCATTAAATCCACAAATATATATGCAACTATTCCATACTACTAAGCAGTATTGGATTTTTCAGCTGCCTAGGAACAAACAAGGCTTGGGTAGCAAATCCCAAACTTAAAATCATAAAACTGAGAATCAACATAATAGCATGAATACATAAACAAACTGTTGCAAAAATTTTTTAATTAAATAATATAAAAGAACTTGAGCAAAGGAAAAAGTAATGAAAACTGTCAACAAAACAAAACAGTAATCCAAACTGGGAATTGAACCCAGGCCTTCTGTCACAAAGTAACAGCTGTTCTACCACTAAACTATCTGGATGCAAACTTGTCTGTTGTAACAGTTATCAATTACATTTTTTCTGGATCAACATAAATTTATTGGAAAAACAATTGCCATAATTACTAAATTCCTATTTATACAAATCATTATTATTTACTAATTCTGAAATGTTTATCATTACTTGTACTTCAAGAAACACATGTTTTTGGATTGAAATTTACTTACAGTTTTCCCTGAAGGTATCTACACCCGAAATACCAGCAACTGTAATCTCTCCAATCAACTGTAGAACCTAAAAGTTCACTTAAGATTGAAGTAAATCATAGTTTAGTTTTTTTAAATCAATTTATCCCTTGAAACAAAATATAAAGAAAAAAAATTAGGATTTTTCAGAAATAAATTTACATGATGTACAAAATTAATGTACTTTTGACACAAGTTGAAAACACATAGAATATATAACATATTTTTTTGCAAGTGAAATTGGGATAAAGACAGGTTTGTTTCAAATGCATGCTATTTGGTTACTTTTTCTTCCAAACTGTCTGGATTAGCTGGAGGTGGCCCTCCTCCAGTCTTAGTGGCAAACAGCCGACGTTCTCTCTCCTTTTTTTTAATAGCCATTTTAAGGTCGGACCATTTTTTTTAAATTTCATTTATGGTTCTGGTACAGGAACTCTGGCTGTTAACACTGAATTGACAGAAAAAAATATTTAAGATAACTGTCGGGAATTGCGCTCATAATCATGTGCCGTTAAATGACGCCAACGTATGCGTGACGTTAGAGTACGTCACTTCCTATGTTTTGTAATATAAACGTTAGTAGTTTGAATAGACGTATAAACCAGACACAACGTGTTGTACATTTTTATCGTAGTATAATACCCTATCCGACATTGGTGCCGTGACCAGGAAGATAATTCATCATTGATAGAATTTAACGCAATTCTTGAAGCCATAATCAGTGGAGCAGAGACAATTAATTCTTTAAACGAAAAGATTTTAGAAATAACGGAAGTAATCAACATCGAGGAGGAGGTAGTAAATAGTGAAGAATATGGATTAACGTTGGAGATAAAGGTGAGAGAACTTCGAGCTTATAGCGAAAACAGAAAAAGCAACACTGAAGAACAACAGAATGCTTATAGCGAACCAACTAACCCGCAAAACCAGAACAAAGACGGAAGTGGTTCCCTGATCGAAAATAATAACGTGAATAATGGTAACAGCACTTTGCAAAATGTGAGTACATTTCATTCAAATACGTCGCTTTATCAGAGACTGCCGAAATTATCGCTACCTGTATTTAGTGGTGACATTCTCGAATGGCAAAGTTTTTTGGATGCTTTTGATTCCTCTGTTCATCAAAACCCGAATCTTACAGAAGTACAAAAATTTAATTATTTGAAGACGCAACTAGAAGGCAGTGCGGCTCAAGTTATTCAAGGATTTGCACTTACGCATGCAAATTACATTCAAGCAGTCGATTTACTGAAGGAGAGGTTCGGACAGTCTCATAAAATCATTCATGCGTATATACAGGCGTTACTAAACCTGCCAGCCCCGAGCAATACTCTACACAGTATGAGAAACTATTACGACAAATTAGAAGCTTATATTCGCGGATTGGAATCCCTAGGTCAGTGTCAAAATACGTACGGAACTCTTTTAGTACCAGTCATTATAGACAAACTTCCGGCAGAAATTCGCAAGAGTTTAGCACGAGAAAATGGCAGCGATAAGTGGTTATTAGAAACTTTACGAAAAACGTTATACCGAGAACTGAATATCATGGAGGCTGGGCAGACTACAGATGATTTAACAGGTTATAGAACTACAGCGTGGTTTTTCACGGGCGCGAGACAGAAAACAGGAACCGGAAGTCACGTGACACAGAATTCCGCAGGCGAAACGTTTGATGACCAGGGACAGTGCATTTTTTGCAACGAATTTCACAATGCCAAAGACTGTACAAAAGTAACTGATGTGAGAGCTAGAAAAGACATTATAAGAAATAAACATTTATGTTTTAATTGTTTGAATTTAAACCACCAAGTCATTAACTGTCCATCAAACTACAAGTGCTTCAAATGTAGAAGAAAACATCACACTAGTCTATGTGAAAGTAGCCCAGAGTCAAATCTAAATATCGGTGCTAGCGAGTCAACCCAATCTTCAACCGAATATCAACCCACAAATCAAGCACAGACTGCAACTTTACAACCAAGCACCGCACAAAAAGCGTTCATAGATTACGACACGTAGAGAAACGTTAAAGAGAAATGAGAAGGAATACAGTTATTATTGAAGTTATAATTTCGCGAACACAGACTATAAACATTTATAAGATATTTGAATTATCAATTGAGAGACATTTGTGTTATTTAAAAACAATGACTTTTTATTTAAATGTATTTTAGAAAGGATTAACTGATATTAATTTTAATAATTTATCATTTTGCGGCCCCCAGAATGTCGGGAATTGCGCTCATATGCATGTGCCGTTAAATGACGCCAACGTATGCGTGACGTTAGAGTACGTCACTTCCTATGTTTTGTAATATAAACGTTAGTAGTTTGAATAGACGTATAAACCAGACACAACGTGTTGTACATTATTATCGTAGTATAATACCCTATCCGACAATAACAATAGACAATGTTGAATGCAGGCCTCTTTTTTTTCGCCCTGGAATTTTTGTAATGATGTTAAGTTCTTTTACATTTGTATATTTATATGACATTTAACCTTATCACTTATTTCCATAAATTTCAACTACACATTGTACCTAGAAAGTAACATTCTGTGGACTTTTACTACATATATAGGAAATAAACTTGTCAACAACTCCCAGCATTAAATTACTATTTGTTTACATGTTTAGTTTCTTCCGTAGGTTAAACCGAAATACCATATCCGTTCTGTGTATTCATACTATTGTGTTCGAAGTCCTTATCCAAAGACTGATGGAAAGGGCCGAGTAGTTGCGATTGTGGACATTTCCCACCCTCCCCCCTTTTATTGTGTTGTATAAAAATAAAATTAATTTTAAAGCAAAAACAAAGCAAGGCATTATATTTTGCTTGTATCTTTTATTTTTTTATCACTTTTCTTTTCTGTTATTTGATTTTTTTTATTACAATTTGATTAAGAAATAGGTAGGGCTGTTTTTGATAGACAATTTTTTATCAATATATATCGATGGACAAATATCGACGATAAATCGATGTATTGACTTTAACAGTAGATACAATGAAAAACATTTTAACATATGTTTTAAACTGGGATCATAGTGTTTCATTACAAATACTACAAACGTATAGTTTGTTTTTCTGGTTATTTTTATCACTGACATTTGAACAAAGTTGAAAGTTCAAGTAAGCCAAGAAAACTGGAAAAAAGTTACTTCTTTTATTAAGCAAAACAGGTATATTCACTAACGGAAGTAAATAAATTTTATCTTGTATCGATAATTGAAAATGTGCATATCAATATTATCTCAGATGATGAATATCAATGATATATCAACATTTTTATATTCAATATCAGACAGCCCTAGAAATAGGTATCCATTTTGAGTACACTGTTGTTCCTTCTATGTTCAATAGGGAAAAATGTGGGGAATCGGGGTCAGCTCGGCCCTAAAACGTACTTGGCCCCCGAGTCAACTCGTCCCTATTCCAACTCAGCCCATAATTATATACTGGTTGGGGAGATAACTTCGGCTGGTTGATAAACTCGGCTTTTTATAACTAAATCGAGTTATCGGAATTTTTAATCTAATCAAGCTCACCATCTCATACTATCGCTGGAATTCGACAATGTCTGGAAATTTTGTCAAGTTTGGTAAGATAATTAAAATATAACACAGACTTTAACCTGTTTGTTTACAAAACATGCCTTATAAAAAGTACGGGTATCCCATTGTTGTGCGCATGTGCAGCAGATGCTCATTTTGAGGCCCGAAAAGGGGTACTTTTATATATTGACCGACTACCGGTAAAGCAGACAACGTTTACGTATACATTTTGTAGATGAAATTCAGACTCACTTTTGTTTTGCTAACTCAGTAAATTTCTTGCAAAGTGATTATTATAAACCAATAACTTGTGTGCCCATTTTCAGTTTATTCCCTCTCCCATTTATCCAGAATCATCATTTTTTTTCATGCAAAATAACCCAAAAAATGAAAAGCATGCCAAGGCTTTTTTTCTCAAATCAGGACTAAGAAGCACACAAAATTCAATTAAATTTTTCTTTATTATCCTTTGCAGATTTTTCCATTTGAAGTGCCTCACTTGATTTATGTTTGAATTTCAAATTTTAGGCTGTTTGACCTAAGTGGATTCCCGTTAATTGTTACAATCATAACCATTTGTTCAGATTATCTACAGGTGTGTAACAGTCTAAGTTACCTTCACATAAACACCCGTATCTGGTCGCTCCTTTAACTCTAGACGTCTGTTCTGGTCCTTCGATAAAAGATCACGTATTTCCTCCTGCAATAACAACATAACAATCATTTGTATCACTAGTTTGATACTGAGATGCTTGGTTTATACAGAATTTATTTTAGTTCAATTGTGTAGGAAGCTATAAGCTTATAGACACACTTTCGAATCCGTTCTTGGAACCAACCAGTACTGAACCAGTCATCGAATTTAGCACTGGCCCAGTGGCCCATGGCTAGTGTTAATTAGTTCGGGCCAGTGAAAATTTTAAGAAAATTTAGTTTAATATATAGTAGAATTAATTCAAAACTGGAATTCGGGCTAGTAAATTCAAAATCTGAAATTCATTGACACTGCTCAACAATGCGTGTAAAGTTTCTTGCTCAAGGAAACAACCACATGCCCCTGACGGGGTTTGAACAGGTGCGGAAAGTGATCATTAGATTACTATTCAGACATGTTAACAACTCGGCCAGGCCGCCACAAAAGAGATACTTGTAACACCATCTCTGCATCCCTCCCCCTTCCCAATACTAAAAGTTGCAAAATTACATAAACTGGCAAACTATTAGTACACTTGTTTTTCAAAAACTGAACTAGTGTGTAGTTTTTTCATACATTTATAGTATTTACTCAACAGAGTTTTCACAAAGAAAAAAGCTTTTATATTTAAAACACACATGAATATTGAATGTTTATAAAAGAACTAAACAAAATATCCTTAGTACTGGTTGCAGAGATAACTCTTACTCAATTATAACCTAAACGCATGGTAAAAGTTATTGTTTTAACTATTTTATTTCAACCAATAAGCACATGGTCACCTACGAATGTAGGAGCATGATATGCTGTCAAGATTTATATTTAGATTTTGTAAACTTTTTGTGTGTGTGTGCAATTACCTCAACTTTTGTAAACTCAACTATTTGTAAAAAAAAAAACTGCCACCAAACGGTCTTTTTACTAAACAACCACTTGAATTGTCCCTGACATAGGATTTTTTTTAGATTTTAATGTATCAGAAAAAAAAACAACATATAAAATGTAAAAATAAATGATTGATATTGATTTTCCAGCTATTTCTTACATAAAAATTTAAGTGTCGACTTTAACAACTGTTGTAGGGTAAAAAGACTATGTTTTGTATACGTAATTCAGAAGAAGTATTACTTTTCATCCCATAGATAATTCTTTTAGAGTATCTTGAAGTCTTTGAACAGAACTTTTTTTTATTAAAATCATAAGACAATAAATACCTGGTATATTTCTAAGTAAGAGGCCCTTATGAGGTACTGTTGATTTTCCGAGTTAGATATATGACTAAATATATGTTCAAATGAGTTAGGAATCACCCCTCGCTGTTCAGGATCATTTTTTAATCCTGAAACAAAATGAAAATGCATTTTATACTATAGTAGTAATTGTTATTTTTGTCAACTTTTAAAATAACACTGACATGCAGTAAAAGTTTAATGGTAACTTACCAACATTACTTGTAGAGGAAGAACTCAATTACAGATCTGAGCATTTTTTTATCACTTATTATTTAGAAAAAAAAAAAAAAAGAGGCACTTCCCATAAATATTGTACATGTAAGAATAACACAACATGATATAAATTGAATTATTGGGGAAAATTGCTTGATTTTAAAAAGACAGCTGATGGGGGCTGGCTCTCAATGGATGTTATTTCAAAGAATCAAATCTGGCATTACCGATCCTATCCTAGTAAAATCCACTTAGTTTATACTAATACGTGTATATCTTAATTGTGTTGGAAGCTATAAGCTTATTGAAACACTCTTGAATCTGTTCCTATGAACCAACAAGTACTTAGCAATGAGTGTAAAGTTTCTTGCTCACTGAAACAACGGCTTGTGGCTAACAGGGTTTGAACCCACGCAGACAGCAATCCTTAAATTACTAGTCTGGGGTGTTTACCACTCAGCCACGCCGCCACTTGAGTCAAATATAAATTCCAGATTAAGATACTCCTATAATAACTCTATTTTAACTAAAAATTTTCCACAAAAAAAACTGTCTTTCAAAACTTTGATTGAAAATTTCAGTCAATAAAAATTACCTTGCATTGTATGTGTTTTGCCTGTTCCAGTCTGACCATAGGCAAAAATTGTCCCGTTAAATCCCTGAAGAACATTCTCCACAAGATCTCTGAAAGTCTCCTCATACAAATCCCTCTGTTTGGAACTATGACAAAAAAAAATAGAAACTGTTTCAATATATGTGAAACAATTCTGATGCACAAATTTATGTTCGAAAATACGAAAGAAAATGATGTTTGATGACCGATTGACTTACTGATGATAAATCGGGAAAAAATTGTTGTGACAGCTGATTTGGAATATTTTTTGACACTATTTTGGAGGAAGACATGTGACCACAAACCTGGCATTCCACTGGTAACAAAACTAATTGAGTCGCGTCATGACAAAACCAACATAATGGGTTTGCGACCAGCATGGATCCAGACCAGCCTGCGCATCCGCGCAGTCTGCTCAGGATCCATGCTGTTCACTTATAGACCCTATAACAAGTAAAGAAACTGATAGCGAACAGCATGGATCCTGATCAGACTGCGCGGATGCGCAGGCTGGTCTGGATCCATGCTGGTCGCAAACCCATTATGTTGGTTTTGTCGTGACGCGGCTCAATTATTTTTGGTTCCAGCAGGTAAAGGATTACTAAAGAGACAATATCCTCATAATCTATTATCATTTTTTTCTATCATCAAGTTGAGCTAAATTAACAATACATTTCAAAAGATAGACTGTTCTTATGGTGTTTAATTCTTAACAGTTGATATTGGAAAATGTTTCGCGTAAAATAAAAATCTGCTTAAAGTATAAAAAAAAAACTGCCCCACTTGTTTAATAAATTGAATGTTAGGGGTAATGTCCAATGGATATTTATAGAAGATACATTTGACCACATAAGTTATGTGAAGTAAATTATAAAATTGAAAGGAATTATGACTAAATGTAAACTTATTTTGTCTTTCACCTGTTCACACACTATATACCCTTGGATGGGCATAATGACACTTCAATACTTTATTAATACAAAATAATGATAAACTGAAGGGCTTTTTATTATTATATATATATATATTGTTAAAAGTCTCAATAACTCATTGATTTAAATCTTGAATAAAATCTTTTCCTTGATTAAAGAATAGATAAAATTGTACTTACTTCCAGTCATAAACAGTATCAAATGTAAAGGTTTTCTTTGGATCCGATGGTGGCAATTTAGGATTCCTAATCTCAATAACACCTCTTTTTGTGTTCATCTCCACTACCCTATATAAGATACAAAATGTTATGAAAGATTGTAGGACAAAAGCCCTCCCATGAAAATGGCAGGGCGGGCAAAAGCCCTCCAGTGAAATGGCTTTTGTCTGACCTGTCATTTTTCGTATTGCCAAGGTTGTCCCACAGTCAGTATCGACAAGTGAAATGTTTCAAGAATTTACTATATAAATATGATATGGATATGTTAAGAAAAAAAAACAGACAAGTCTTGATTTTTTTTATTCCAATTCTAAATTTACGAAACATATATGAGTCGCGTCACGACAAAACCAACATAATGGGTTTGCGACCAGCATGGATCCAGATCCAGATCAGGATCCATGCTGTTCGCTTACAAACCCTATAACAAGTAGAGAAACTGATAGCGAACAGCATGGATCCTGATCAGACTGCGCGTATGCTCAGGCTGGTCTAGATCCATGCTGGTCGCAAACCCATTATGTTGGTTTTGTCGTGACACGGCTCATATATCATCCATTATCTACCTTTCGTATCCTTTCTGTACTTCTTTCTCTGATAGAGGACGACATCTCACAACAACTTTTACACACTCCGACTTTTGCGGAATATCTAGCTTCTTTACATCAGACTGAAAAATTAGCTCAATGTCACCAATATATTATAAATATACATGTATACAAACAAATGAAAGGAAACTGTTACAAAACAAGGATTTCTGCCAATATTATAAATACATCATGTACATAGATGTCCGCCCAATAGGTGTAGGACTGTGAATAGGACAAGCCAGGTTCGATTCCTTCCCGGACAGTCAAATTAATCAAATCGCTATATAATATAGCAGGGAATTCCCCAGGCGCTTTTAGCGCATCGGCACCGATGCGCTAAAATTTCAGAACAAGAAATCCCGATGCGCTTAAAATTATCATAGCGCTTTAAAAAATGACCGATATCCCTTTCTTTTGTGTCTATAAGTTAACCCCAATTAGCCAAATAAACAAGCCAATATACATGTCCTGTGTAGATAATTACCCGAGGCGTATACACAATCCGATACACTGATTGCCTTTTAGACTGTGTGACGTCACAGACACCTGTCATCGATGTCTGCAGACGACTGCTGGTGCACTTTCAGGTGTTGTCAATTACCGTGTATTGAGATGGGTGCAATTTAACCGCGGCATGTGTGATATTTACATGTTTCAGGTAGGTGTAATAACTTTTATTGCTTTGATAATATAATTGGCATTAATTGACATGCGATATAACAGTTTGATATTTAGGGATGAATGTTAATTGTCTTGATATAAGTGTAATGTTCAATTTCATCTTTCACTTTCTTATGATCGTTACGTCTAAAGCAGTACTGATTGTAGTATTAAGATTTCAAAAAATAATATGTCTAACATGAATAAGGGAAGCCTAGTTTCACTATCAATTTTTTTTTCCGTGAGCAATGTCGTTGAAACTGTCTCAGGATCATTTTGCTTTTTTTTTTCTTTTTTTTTACTCTTGGGTTAAACTGCATAGATATTCAGAAATAAATTTGGTTGATGGCTACTTTAACATTGAAAACATTAACGACTGTTCATTATCAACTTGCAAATGAGTGAAAACAACAACAAAAACTTTACATCAACAATCCCACTTAGTGACAGCCAATTGGTCATTTTCTTTTTTAATTAAAAATGTCTTGTAATCTGTTTCTGTTCAGTGAATCCCCAAAATGAAAAAAAAATATTAACTTTGCAGGCCCTCTTTAATCGAGCCTGATGGACAGCTTTGTGAAGTGCAATCTAGTGTCCTACCCCTTAGCATTGGTTTGTCAGGACATACAGGAGCTGGCCAGGCACTTTGGTGTAGATATGGAGCAGTGCCGCAGCCACTGGCACCAGGTACGTGCCAGTCTAGAGGGGACTGATCAGTCAGCCGACCAAACCATGACCTGGATTACTGGCAACCTTTCTACCAGTCATCTTTACAGAATTGCTGCTGTGGGTCTCCTCCTCCCAACCTCTACTGCAGGTAAGCATTATTAAATTCATTCATTCTTGAACATTAATGAAATTCCAATGACAGTTGCAGATGTGTAACACTTTGCTAGAAGTTTTTCAACATTTCAAATATGATTTTTTTACTTAGTAAAGTTTAAACAGGCTGGAAGTTTTAAATTTTCAAATATTCACATCAAACAAACAATATAAATAAACGACATGAGGTTAACATAAATGATTACTTTTATTTATTAATTTCAGATTTTGAGCGAGGATTCAGCTGTCTGAAGAGAGTTAAGACTGAAAACAGGAATTGTCTCTCTGTTAAAGTTCTAAACTATCTTCTTGCCGTCTCCCTTTAAGCACCCCCATTAGAATCTTTTCAACTTTGAGAAGGCAGTCAAGGCATGGAATGACAACAAACCTAGAAGACAGGCCCACTTTTAATGATGTTAATGAAGAAAAAACAACTGAAATATACTCATTTAAATGGGACACACACATACATATAAATGTTGATCACATGTTGTGAACTTGTGTTTATATATAATTGTTTATTTATTTGAATTGTTGGAAATGGAAAAAGTAAATAATAAAAATTAAGAAAATGTTTATCAAGTGAAAAGCTTTCATTATTTGTTTTAAAACAGCCCACAGCAGTATCTTGACACCTTAAATGGCAAAAATTTTCGACACGCGGTATGGGGGTCAAAACCCCCTCCCGCACCCACCCCCGTCTTATTAAAAAAATGTAGCGCTTAAAAAAAATCCTGGTGAATTCCCTGATATAGTGCTAAAAAACGAACATACATATTAAAACATTTAATTAATTTTTAAGACAAACTTTGTTTTTTATGAAAAATTGTCCAAATTGCAAATCATGAGAATTGCTAATAATAATCTATAAAGTTTATCTTACCATCTTTAATCTTTGTTCTTTAATTTAACTTTCAATCTGCAATGATATAAACATAAAATGTTTTTTTCTTTATGTATACTGAAAAAATATTTAAAATGAATCATTTCTATTTATATCAATCTATATTCAAACATTAATGATGATTAATCACAAGTAACCAATAGAACATAAGATTAAAATAAACATTGAAAAACAATATTAATTATAAACAAATACTTGCTATTCTAGTATCAAGGTTAACATCAAAAACAAAATTACCCCCCCCCCCCCCCCCCAACTCCCAAAACAAGAGCTGTCCGTAAGACAGCGCGCTCGACTTTTTTATTGCTTGCCAATAAAAAAAGTTTTTGCAGTAAAAGGCAATACAAGAATCTCTGTATTTTTAAAGTGAACAATGGCCATGAAGCATTAAGATATTTAGTGAAGAATTATTTTACTGAATTGTGTGATACCCTTGAACACTGCAGCAAAGTTTGAAATGTTTAAGTCAAAAGAGTTAAGGGCCATAATTCAAATAAAATCTTTGACAGAATTACCTTCTCCTGGACATGTTTGGGAATCATGATTGTAAACAAGTATTCCAACTTTCAAATTAATATCTCAAACAGTTCAGGTCAAAAAGTGGACTGGTACTAAAAACTTAACCAAGATTCTAAGTCGATAAAAGGCCTTAATTTTTTAAAAAAATCCTTGACAGAGTTACCTTCTCTTGCGTACAGATGGGGGTAATGATGTGAAATAGCATTAAAAGTTTCAAAGCAATATCTCAAAGGGTTAAGGCAATAAGTGGATTTTACCCATATTCAATGTATTTTCTAAGTCAAAAAGGGGCATAATTCTGTCAAAAACCTTGACAGAGTTATGTCCTCTTGTCTGTTGATGAAGGTCGTGATGGTAAACAAGTATGGTCAGTTTCAAAGCAATACCTCCAATGGTTTTGAAATAAAGTGAGGTGGTACAAAAAACTTAACCAAGCTCAAAACACTTTCTAAGTCAAAAAAGGGCCATAATTCTGTCAAAAACCTTGACAGAGTTATGTACTCTTGTCTGTAGATGGAGGTTATGATGGTGAACAAGTATGGTAAGTTTCAAAGCCATACTTGTAATACTTCTGAAATAAAGTGGGGTGGTACGAAAAACTTAACCAAGGTGTGACGCCAACGCCGACGCCGACGCCGGGGCGAGTAGGATAGCTCCCCTTTTCATAGAAAAGTCGAGCTAAAAAGGAAACAATCAAAGTTTAACTTTAAAGCATCGTCAAGTGAGGATCACACAAATATTTATTAAAAACAACTTATCTGTCAAAGTTGCAATTTAGTCTCATCAAGCTATACAAAGTTTGTTTAAGAATGTAAGAGTTAACAAATACATGCCTAAAAATCATATACAAAATGCCATGTGACAAAATATCTTTAAGGACCATGCAGTTATAGATCAATGATTTTTTTCAATTTTAGCAAAACATTGTGCAATCTATTATTCTGCAATTTTAATAGTTTATTTCCTTTTGCAACTTTAAGAGGGCATTTGAAACCAGCAATAAATACGAAAACATCTCGCTGTTAATTCATATATTTAATATTTTCATAAAAAATGTATATTCTGTGAATTCGTGTTGTTTATTTGGAAAAGAGTCAACTCGGCCCTATACCAACTCGGCACGGGTCAACTCGGCACGGGTCAACTCGGCCCACTTTAAAAAAATATATTTAACGTAGTAATATTTAAAAAAATATCAAACAAAAACATGTTTACTTAATATCATAATTAAGCTACTAATTAATTGCAGGTGGTCACTAATCAATTTTAAATGAATGCGTCAATCATAATTATCACCTAATTAATCGGTATCCTTACGAACACACTGATTGATAATAATAGCCTGTGACAATAAGAGTCCCTTTAATCGTCTTTAACCAATTTCATTTAATTTGTTTGTAATTGTCAAAAGCTGAAAATTAAGTCCGTGTATTATACATAATTACAAATATTACAAAAAATAGTGATTACACAAACCTAAATATAAATAATTGAAAAGTGGGCCGAGTTGACCCGTGCCGAGTTGGTATAGGGCCGAGCTGACTCGGGGGCCGAGTACGTTTTAGGGCCGAGCTGACCCGGAATCGTTTATTTAGGTACCCCACCCACATTTTTTGTGCAGTATAGTTTTCAGCTATCTTACTTTTCAGGGTAAATCTAAATAAAAAATGTACAATACTGCTTCTAAAATTCAAAAACTATACATAATAAACTATGTTTGTTCATCAAAATGCCTACATTAATGCAAACAGAAGAAGAAATCATGTTTTGCACAAAACAGAAGAGATCTCATCTAAAATATTTCTAACGACGCCACCTGTAGCAACGGGAAATAACTCGGTTGGAATTTGCGTTAATTGCTGGGTCCCGTTAACCGGTAAACAGGTAAAATGAACTAGTTTTTTATTTATTTTTTTATGATTATTTATTATTAATATGAAATTAGGTGCTACCTATGGCGCGGAAAGTCATGTAGATCTTCATGTAAATTATGCAGTATCAAAGAAATTATCTAACTGAATTATATTGATAATGTCACGGATTTATAATACATTTTATAATAATTTGTAATATAAATCCGTGATAATGTTCAACACTTTAAACTTTCAAAATTATGTGATTTTAGAATTTTTGTTTCATTTTTAAATATTCTGGTGTTTAAAGATAATAAACCTTGAAAATTGAATTATACTTTTTTTGTTTAAGAAATGTTTCTGGTGGTTAGAGACTGACATGTCCCACACTTCAGAACATTTATCAACATTTAAAAAATTAAAGAAAAAAAAACATGTACTGTATATATATATAGTAAACAAATACATGTATATATTTTGAATATTTACATTATCTAACACAATGTAATGGTAATAATGAAAAATTCCTTTCATTCTTTCCGTTTTGAAGGTGTCATTCAGTATTACATGCAACGCTTCCGTTTTCACTCGGAATACTCGACATTAACATTTATCCGAAAAGTTGAGATTTGTTCCGTTATCGGAATACCCCGCCTATTATCATTAAGTTACATTGTAAATGGCGGCGCCCGACTAAAGTGACACTGAAAATTTCATTGATAGGTATAGAATTCTATATATTTTTTAATTGTTTTTTATTTGATTTACTTTTAAATATACACGTGTAGTCAATAGCCGGGCAAGCCAAAGCCCGGACCCGCTTTGCGGGCCCGGTCTTTGACTTCCCCGTATAATTATTGAATATAGCTGGTATTTATATATAGCTGGTATTTAATAACGATAGATTTATACTTTTTAATTAAATGTTTCTTGTTGGTTAGAGACTGACATGTCCCACACTACAGAATATTTATTAACATTAAAAGACGTTCAGTTATGTAAGCAAATTTAAATTGAAATTTTGATGATTGTCCTTATGTATTTAAGTACTGTGTAACAGGAATGTTTTTTTATTGTTTAAAAGTCCCAAGACCTTAAATCATTTTCTACAGAATGACAAAGAAATGTGACCATTTCTCTTTAGATGTTCATCTGCATGAACACCATCATGACAAATTTTTATATGATACGCCCTCTTGAGTCAGTTGCAAATATCAGATGATTCATCTGTGAAAAGAACAAAACAGAAAAAGTTTTTCACTGTTTCATGTGAAAAAAAAACTACATAGTTTAAATATATTAAAATGTATTTATATGACAATATTTAAAGAAAATTTGACAAACTATTAACCAATTCCAAGAACTGTGATCAATAAATGTTAAAAGTATTGATTACAAATGTGAATAATTGATGATAAAATTTAGCTTAATAATCATAAAAGAAATATGCAATATGAATTAATAACATGAATGTTTGAATTACATATATATATACATGTGATTAAGTAATAAAAGCATGCTAGTAAGAAAAAAATACATTGATAATATTCTAAATGAGCAACATATGGGTAGGACTTTAAATTCTTTTTATTAGTGTCTAAATAAATAGTTGATATAGAGTTTTGTAGCTATTCATGGTGTTAAATTCTAAATCTAGACAGATTCTTTTAATCAGTGGTGAAATGTCATGATGACATTTAATGTCATGATATATTTTGAAAAGAAACATAGAAATAATAAACATGTCATCAATTAAAAAAATCATTATGACAAAAAATGTTGAGAGGAAGATGTAGACGAAATGATGAAAATATGTTTAATGTAGATTTAGAAAAATACATGAATACTAGTAATTGAATGTATTGGTGAAAGTACATATACAATTGTAAGTTTATTTTATGTGATATTTATATTTGTGAAAGTGTATCATTAGTGGTTGAAATACCACCCACCAAAAAATCTTCTGTTATTAGTCCCTTTTAAATTATCTAGTTTTGTCCATAGATGCTTGTAAGAAACAGTTGTTTAATTGAAAAATAATTGAATGTGATGAAATGTGTTGTTGGAGATATAATGGAAAGTATATTTTCTCTGATATTTATATTTGTGAAAGTGTATCAGTTAGTGGTTGACATTGTTGTTCAGACAATAATTATGGTCATTGTAATTATCATTCTGCATATGTAAATGCTCAGATTGATTTGGAGAGAGTAAATATACCTGTGTAGAAGCCTGTTAATCATTATTTACTTCTGTACAATAATTGTTTTCTTGGTATATTTCATTTGAATGTTTAACTTTTTTTGTTTGAAGTTCTTGGAATTGATTTCCTACAATATTGTTGTCCAGCCAATAATTATGCTTGTTGAAAATAGACATAGTTATTTACCAGTATGCTTGCTGAATGTAGACAATTATTAAGTGTGAAAATAATGCATAAGATCTGGTAGAGTCTATATAATTTTTATGATTTTTTTTCTTCAGAAAAATCAATTGAAATCAATATGCTTGGAATTTCACTTAAACATATTTAGAACTGGTATAGTTGTATACAGTATAGTCCAGTAGGACTAGCTCAAGTTATTGCATAAACTTGCATAAGTAACTTAATTAAAAATGTTAAAATATATTTAAATGTACAAAAAGAAACATGTAAAATTTGTGGTAGTCCAAATATGCAAAAGTAAATATAATTCTAGGACTTTAAATAGGAAAATGTAATTATGCCAAAATAGTACCGTTCAGCCTGTTGAGACGACAGCGATAAAAAAGCAGACGACTGGGCCGTTTAATGATAAAAAATCAGTGTAGTTTACACGCTTTTCGGAATGAAAATCAAAAAGCGCCCGCTACTCATAACATTTAAACCAGTCTAAATATTCAGCCATTGAGGCGCTTGTAAAGCGTTTTACAAGAGGCACTTGTCAAGCGTTTTACAACATAGATTTCAAAATGGCGGCGCCCGCAAACTAAGGATTTTTTGGCTTGCAGCCACGGCTGCAAGCCATTTCATTTGGAAAACTTGTTCCGGTTAGGTGGTTTCCTGCTTACATCTGTTGGTGCATGATTGAACGGGAAACCAACTGCAATCGTGCCAATCGCAACTTTTTGACCCTTTCCGTCACTCTTCGAATTAATGATAATAACCGAGGTAGTTCCGATTGCAATCGTGACAATTCGGGCGATTCCGTCATACTGCGGAATCAGACGAATTAATATTACGGAAATCTAAGCTATTTTAGTTACTTCGGTAATCCCAGTTTGTTTATATAAATAGGATTTCTATTTTTACTTGATTTATCGGTTTAAACCGTAATAAATTATAATCGAAATTGTTCCGTTTCAATTCTTTTTCAAGACACAAAAGTTAGTTTCTTTTATAATTGTTTTTGTCTGTATTAGTTTTATACAATAGAGAATGGTTACTGTAGCTCCAAAGGGTGGTCCTGCTTACCAAATCATACAGAATATTAGTGCATGATCGAGTTATATTTAGATCTAATGAACGCAGTGAGGTAATCTAAAAATAGCCCATGCATATTATCAACCTTACCACGTGCTGATATCGTATCTGACTGTGGTCGTGTAACATAGTTGATACATGCTTAATTGGTACCACGTACATTAAGATGCTATATAAATAAAATTAGCAACTGCCAAAACGAATTTCTCTGTGAAAAAAGTGGAAATGAAATGTGCACACTTGTTCTTTCGGTATGATAGATAGATCTCCACGTTAGTATTTTTACAATTGATTATTTTCTTTATTAGTTTTATACAATACAGAATAGATTTCAAATCGTTTTGACAAAAGAATATTCGTTTTTACACACACAAAAAAAACCCAACTAAATAAACCCTTTATGATATACAAATACCGTAATTCAAAAAAATTGTGATAATAAATTGAAAAAAAACAAACAAAAACAAAACAACAATTTTAAAGGGTTAGGATGAAGGCACAACTGTGCAAGCCTTTCCTTTTAAAAGGAAACTTTATTCGCAGCTCATTAGGTTTGGGATATATATTTTTTTGAATTTTTCATTAACTTTTAATTTGATTTCTTTTGAATTGATACGCGTCATACATGTTATCTAAGAGCGCTACAGCCCTCGCGGGGCCTTCGGCCCCGCTCGGACTTTCCGCGTATTATTATTTTTATCACCATCACCATCACAATCATCATCATCATCATCATCATCATCATCATCATCATCATCATTATTATTATTATTATTATTATTATTATTATTATTATTATTATTATTATTCAGTATTCATAATAACATTAGTTATATTGTTCAATTGTCGAAGATTGTATGCAGAAAAAGTATATAGAAACTCAAACAATTCTTTTTGGAGAGATGTTGCTAATTATGTTACATTGATTCTTTGCACATTTTTCTAATCGATAGTATATGGACAAGTTTTGTTGTATGCCATTGTTTTATAGTCATAACTTTTTAATGAATGATAAACATGTTTAAATTGGTATGTAAAGGGAATTAGATATGTCCGAAATATATTGGATGCTACAGAAATTTTATAACAAAGCATGAATTTGATAGAAAAACTGGCTAAAATACAATTTCTTACAATTTGAAGGGTTCTTTAGAAGCATCAAATACCTTTTAAAAGATAGAACTGAACTAATCAGTGACAAATTTATTCTCAAATTACCCTAGATACCATGTTATTTCAAACCTATATTACGAAAAGCCTACCCCCAAGGTGCATGGTGTAGTGTTTTTGATATACATGTAGTTCCTTTGGAGTGGAAACATTGATACAGTTGGATTTCTAAACTAACAAATGATACGTACTTTTTATTG